TTAAGAAATCAGTTTTGGGTGGGGCAGGTTTTTTTCTGTAATTTATGTTGTGTTATCGTTTCTCCCTCTATGGACTCCTCGGCCTGCTAAGGTCAATCCAGCTTCCCATCTGGAGGCATGGCTGCCCTGCTGAACACCAGAGTGGACAATGACGGCGAACTCCATGTCGGAGACACGCCTCCTTCCAATAGGCCCAGCACTTTTAATGTGGTAAAAATGTGTGTTGGTGAAACATTTTCTTAACTTGAGGATCAAGCTCTAGGGAAAACAGGTATTTCCTTCCTAATACCAGGCTCCTGTTTTGGGGTGATTTGGGAAGTTTCTTTGGGGGAGTGGTGCCTCCTGTTTTGGGGTGATTGGGGGAGTGGTGCCTCTGGGCCTGGGCTGTTCTCTCTGACCAAGCCCACCTTTGGTTGGCATTTAGTTTTGCTGTCTCACCACCAGGTGGGGTGGCTGCTCACTGCCCTGCACCCACACACACCCGCTGAGGTCCTCTCTTGCTCTCAGGGAGGAAGGTATCATGTATCCTGTGGATTCTAGTGAAAGATACCCCTACTTCTGATGACAGCAGGCCTCTGCAGCCTGGTCCCTAGCCCCCAAGCCAAATTTTTAAAAACGATTTTATTTTAGTTTATTTTATGTGCATTAGTGTGAAGGTGTGGGATTCCCTGGAACTGGAGTTACAGACAGTTGTGAGCCACCATGTGGGTGCTGGGAATTGAACTCAGGTTCTCTGGAAGGGTAACCACTGCTCTTAATGACTGAGCCATCTCTCCAGTCCCAATTTTTTTTTTTTTCAGTTAAAGCTGAAGCTCACCCTTTGGCCATGTTAGCTGGCCGGCAAACCCCTGGATTCTCCTGTCTTCATTGCACCAGGGCTGCAATCACAGGAAAGAGTGGGCAAAGCTGGGATCATACTTGGTTCCTCAAGTTTGTCCCATAAGCACTTCACTGACCAAACCACAGTCTCAACCCTGGTGTGGAACCCACAAAGAGAACTAGGAACAGCCTTGTCTGGAGCAGTACATACCCAGGGCTCCACTGGCATCATGATCTCTGCTGTATCCAGAAGCTCTGTCACACAGGCAGGGAGGAGGCCCTGGGCTGTGTGCTGTGCGCATGCCTGGTGTGTCCCAGTGAAACTGTACTGATGGGCTGAGTTTCATGTAGTTTTCAGGCGCCATGAAATATCATCCTTTAGAGTCTCTGTTTCAGGCATTTCAAGGTGCTAAAAACAATTTAAGCTCATGAATTATGCAGAAGTAGGCCGTGGACTAGATCTGTCTCAGAGCCACAGCTTGCTACCTCTGTCTTTGAATGTATTCCCAGCAGAGTGCTTGAACCAAGCCAAGACCTGAGAAGCAGCTTGTGATTTGTTCCTACGGACTCATGATGTGCCGGCCACATCCCTGGACAACCACAGGGAAGGGTGGCCAAGCTTTCCTGGGCCTTAGGAAGCACAGAAGGCTGAGTACAGGTCAGCTTCCTTGTGTCAGCTTGAGTCCCTGGCAGGTACTTTGGGCTTTCTGGCCAAACCCTGCAGCTAACCAGCATTCTTGGCACGTGTGCCCAGCATTTCCCACTGGGGAGGACCACTCTGTCCCCCTCTACCAGTAGCTCATTCACACGCCTTCCTGCGCAGGAGAAATCCCCACAGCTTGACTCAATCCACCCATTGAGAGAGTGACACCCACCTTCTCAATGGGATTTTTCTTTCACATTTGCAGCCTGCTCCCGTGGAGGGACGTGAGGAATGTGACTGACAGCATGGGGCAGGAATTCCGACACATAACAACAGTGCGAGGAAGTCTCTATGATTTCTCCAATTATTCAAACCATATAGCACAAAGATGCCAGTTCTGAGAACATCCTGATGTTGTTTTTCTGTAAGAACAGATGAGCACTTGCGTCAGGGGATGGCAATAAGCTCCACAATGCATTTTGCACAAATTCTTGACACCACCAATCCTGAAGAGAGACATGGTGCACGGCCAGGGTGGGGTGGCCTGTACTTTCTTCAGGACCTCAACTTGTCATCCCTGTGTGATGTCTTTCTTTCATGCCTATAGAAAGATCTTTCAGGTTCAGGACTGAGGGAACTTGGGAGGTGGGCAGCAGGACTGTGCCACCTGGACCCTCCAGGCGTGGGCACTGATGGGAGTTTAATAGTCCATGGTGCCCTTGTTTGCAGAATTCCTCTTAGGTCATGGCAACTTGTTGGGCTGGGTGGATGTCCAGCTCCTGCCTCTGACTGATTGCTACCTGGGTAGTTTGGTCAGGTTGCTTGGCAGAGTCAGGGTGGTTGGTGTGCACAGTCATTCTGGTTTGCCTTTGATGGACTAATCAGAAAGGACAAAAGAAGAGCAACATCCAAGTCCAAGAGGCACTGTGAACACCAGCCTTGAAACTGTTTACCACCTATGAGACCAAAGAAAAATCTTCTGTGGAGCGAAACCAAGGCTTGCTGCTGCCCAGGGGGTTGGTTGGTCTTGTGAATGCAGGCAGAGGACAAACCCCTGGCCCCAGGCTACCATAGTGGGCACAGTCTCCAGGGCAAACCTCTGAGGTTAGGCTCTCATCAAGAAGCTCCTCAGGGCTGTAGGCACCCATGAAGGCCTCTCCTCAGGGAGTCAGGCTGGCCAGGCGCTTAGAAGCTTCACTGAGTACAGTTTCTTAAACCAGGGCCAGCTCCTGCTCTGGTTCCATCTGCCCAGAGACCTCTCCATCTGGTCAAAGCTTTTTCAGATAGTCCTCTCCAAGTCACACGGTAGGACTTATTTTGGTAAACTAAAGAACCAGGAGTGATCCGAGGCCTGGACCCTGCCCTGGTTAAGGGCAGAGTCCTCTTGAACACAAGGCTGGGCTTCAGTAAACGGGAAGGGATCCTCCCATCAGACCTAGCTAACACTGAGCCCTGAGAATAAACTACAGGCTTTGCCATTGTTACAGATAGACATGGACCCGCCATACTAAAGAGGCCCGAGGTCCCTGGCAACATCCACCCTCTAGCAGGTAGCTTACCAGGCCCAGATGGGCCATGCTAGGAGGGCTGAAAGAGCTAAGCTCCTGTGGGACCCTGCCTGGAAAGGACACAGCATCTTAAGCCTGTTCCCTACATGTAGATGGGAGACCAAAAGGCTAGAGAAAGGCTCCCGGTTACCACGCAAAGGAGTATGTGGATGCTGGGCATCTCCTCTCTGCCTACAAAGAAGGCTTTGCTGGTGAAGAGATGGGGTTGGGGTAAGACTGTCCCCCAAACACCACCAGCTCTGGGGAGTGTGGACAGAGCTTTGCATGGCAAGTACAGGACTGAGGTCTCTCCATGGCAGGGAGCAGACAGTGGATTTGTTCTGTTGACTTTGGTTTCCTAAGCCAGAGGGTTTGAATTCATAGTAGAAGCACTACAATTCCACAGAATACTGGGGCTCCAGATTTCCCAGAAAATGAAGCCAAAAAAGAAAACAAAAAGGGCGGCAACAGGAATTCTCAGGAAATATCTACTAACCACTGGGTGCGTGGCACACTTTATTTCTATAAAACTATTACAAAATATTCAAAAATACATTTTAGTAAATTTACAGCAGTTATTTCTCAGTTTATTAATGCAAAAACATCCTTTTTTCTCTGTACAAACTACAGGCTCCATCCTCATGGGCTGACCGCTATGTGCGTTTTTAAAAAATATTATTTTCTAATAAATTCTTTGAAGTTAAAAATAACAGAGTTCTTCCAGTTTGTCAAAAAAAAAAAGTGTGTTATGTGTGCGTTAACAGTCTTGGTTTCCAAGAACGTGACCAAAGTGGCGGATACAAAGCAAATACAAACCATGAAGGCAGTACAGAAGACAGCTGTTACATTGGAAAATAGTTAAATTAAAATAATATATTTTCATATTTTACACTATTTCAAAAAATGAAATGTCATTCAGTTAAGTATTGATCTCTCAAAAATCTAATTTACAATTCTGTGTATAAAAATATAATTTGTGGACCCCCATGGAGCATGTTTTAGTTTATGCTAGCCGCAAAGCAGGAGCCTAGCAGACGAGGGATGCGGAGTTTTGCCTTCTGATGCGCAGGGCGAGGGAGTGTAGAAAAATAGATTCTCAGCAGGTTGCTTGGCCTCACAAAATAATCTTTCCCCCCCCTGTGAGAACAGTTCACACGATAATAAATTATCCAAGACACAAACTAGTTAAGGCTCTTGAAGGTCCGTTCATATTATTTAAAACATCTATTCATAGCAAACAAATAAATAGCCAGGAGAGGAGAAAAAAATAACCCAAATAAGACAATAACGAAAAAAATTCAAAAAAATATATAAACTAAACACAACAACAGAACTTCCCGGGGTCTTTGCTTTCTTATAGCCTACTTTGGACTGTCCTACTTATTATTATTATTATTATTAATTATTCTTATAATTAAAAGTCTCCTTCCGTGCGCTTTCCCGCGTCGGTTGCTTATCTCGCAGTCGCTCCCCGCCCCGCCCGCCCCCACACCCCCTACCCAGTCCCCTCCGACTTCAGCTGGATTTGACCGCCATTCCCAAGGGATGCAAGGTCTCGCTGTCCAACAGCCAGGTGCCAATTTGGTAGAGCAGCTGCGAGTACCAGTGGATGCCCGAGGCCGGACCTGAGCCCCTCGCCTCCACTGCGGGTTGGGGTGCCGGGACGCTGCCCCCACTCCCGGCGTCCGTGCGGGTGGGTGCCAACGCGGCCAGGAGCGCGTGTGCCAAGCGAAAGGGCGCGAAGGCCCGGTGCGCCCAGCCGTGCTCCTCGATGACGGCGTAGCACGAGGCCAGCACCCGGTTGATGAGGATGGTGCCGTGCGCCGTGAGCGGTGCGTACGCGCCCGCGGCCTCCTCACGCAGGGTCACGCTGTGCACCGCGGCTGGCAGCAGCCGGCGGTCCCCGTTGCGTTCGGCCACCACGTACACACGCTGGCCGGGGCGCACGCGGCTGGCGAAGAGCGCGCTCGGTCCCGATCCCGGTGCGGGCCCCGCGGCTCCCGAGTCGTTGTTCGGTGCCACGAAGAGCAGGTGCGCGGCGGTGAGCAGCAGGCGTTCGCGCGGCTCCCGCGTCTCAATAACGTAGAAGACCTTCTTGGCGCCTTCGTCGCGGTCCAGGAAGGTGAGGAAGTCGCTGTACAGCAGCCGGCCCTGGTCGTCAGCCGCCAACACGCGGTCTCCTGGACGCAGGTCCTTCACCAGCTTGGTGCCACCCTGTTCCAGGTGCACTGTGGCGGATCCCGGGAAGCAGCCCCCGGATTTGGCAGCCACGGAGTTCTCTGCCGGGAAGAGAGAAGAGAGACGGGGTGTTGAGTGCCAAAGGAGACAGGTACGCCCGGGGTGTTTACGTGCGTGCGTGCGTGCCTGACGGTTCACGTTCGGGCCCCACTGGGTCGGACCAGGGGCGAGAGAGACTGGGGAGCTGGCGTGGTGGAGGGTGATTGTTGCCGATCCAGACTGGTCTAGCGCAGACCGCCCTGCGCCAGCGCCCCAGTAAGTGAATTCAGAGGCAGGCACATTCCTAAACGACCCTTCAAGATTGCACCCGCACCAAGAAAAGTTAGCTGGCATCTCCTGCAGGAGGCGGGGGACACTCCCAACCTTCCTCCTGCCTCTGGTCCCATCCCCCTCTCTAGCACCCAGCCTCGCCGCGAACCCAGAAGGATATTTACTCTCCACTTGGATTCCTCAGGAAGCCTCCTTGAGCCCGCGCGGGCGCCGGGCGCACCCTCCTCTCTCGCGCCCGGACAGTAGGGCGCGGCGCCTCCCAGTGTGCGGTGTGAGGAGGCTGCGCCCGGGGAACCCAGACCACCCCCGCCTCCCGCTTCACCAGTGAAGGCCTTGGCGTTGGCCAGTGGATGGCCAGGGGGTGGGAAGCGAAAAATAGCTATAGTCGTTGTAGCAACTGGACAAACATTCCAGAGGTTTGCCCGAGGTGTGAAAGCCCAAGACTTGTGTGGATTTTCTAATTAAAATCCAATAAAGAGCCTGGTATTGTCATTGTGATTTGTGGGATAAATGGGAAAAGGGGACACTTCCATTTCTCCCTCCTCCCCATTCTCAGCTCACTCTCCAGCTCGCTGGCCGCCCCCTCCCTATTTGCTCAGGTGCAACCTTCCTCCCCCTCGTGCAGTTCACACACAGGGACTCTCCAGAAGCCCGGGCCTCACAAGGCACTATTTGCACAGCCCGGCCTCTCTTCCAAGCACTCGAGATGTATATTTGAATTTTAAATGGCCAGGCCTGCTCAGAGCGCTGGAAGCGCGGGTTCTCAAGGCCCCTTGACTACCCGCTTTACCCAGCCCTCTGTAGCTCTTGGAGGCTCACTGTCCGAGAGGACAATAATTGAGGATGGGGCGGAGCGCAGGGGGCCCGGGAGGAGGAGTGGGGAGGTCCCAGTCTTCTTTGCATTCCAATCTCCAGGATCATGCTTTTGGCAAATAGAGATTGCCAGAAAGAATCTTCCTGCTGGAATTACAGAAGGCTTTTAATCTTCTCATCGGTTTCTCCGGCATGAAGTACGGGACTGGCGGTTGGAAGCACTCCATAGCCCCCCAGACTGCGACCCGGGACTCTAGCGAGCTGGAATCGTCGAGTCGCACGACCCCGCTTGACACACAAGGCACAGCGTCCCAGCCCGCGTGCGCAGAATGCCAATGAGCTGCCCTTCGCGGCCGGGGTCTGCACTGCCTGCGAGACCCTCGGGGCCGGATTACCGCTGCTCATTTGGGAGGAGATCCCCTAGGGACTCCCGCCAGAGGGACTCCGCGAACCGGGGTGACTGGGAGGCCTTGTGTGTCCATTGCAGACTTGAGGTCCAGGGGAGAGCTTACTCAGAGCCTGGGCCTTTCTGCCACCTGTGTTTCTCATCCTGACTTGAGAGGAGCGGCCGCACGAGGCGGCAGGGGGGGGGGAGGGGGAGTGGTGGTGGTGGATTCCAGGAGCTGACACCTTGCCACAGGCCTTCCAGTCTCCTGCACGTCCTAGCCAGCTATTGTTGCCAGATCCACACTTTCCTTTACCTTCTCAGTGTTTCTTGACGTTTAAATAATTTCCTACTAATATATGCAGTTAAAATACACTTTAGGAAACTTGGGAAGTTGGGGTGGGAGAGGGCGACGCCAGAACTCTAGGGCAAGTCACTGTTGCAAGTTAAGCTGCCTTGCCAGAGTACACAATCCCTAGAGGCTGAGCAGGTTGCCTGCCTTCCTAGCTGTTCCTTCCTGCAACAGAGTGCGGCGTTGCAGACCCAGGGAACTACGCCTCACACCGGCTGGGGGCAACTGCTCCGGGCTGGAATCGCTTTCCGCAGTCTAACCAGGGGCTTTCTGTAACCCAGCTGGGCTCCTAATAAGAACGGATGCTTCTGGGCTTGCCGCCTCCTGAAGTTGGAAGTACAGAGTTTATTACCTCCCACCAGGCCTTTCCCCGCACAGGCTTAGCAAGTGAGTTAAGTTAGTTTTGAATCCACATGAGCCCAGCGGGGAGAAGCTAGTACCTGGGCTTATGCCCTGGATAGATCCTTCTGCCCCTGGTGTGTGTGGGGGAGAGGTGGGGAGATGGGAGGGGGAGCTGGCAGTAGGTTAAGCCCTAAATGAGTAAGAAGATCAAGGCAAGCGCTGGCTAAACCAGGAATCATCAGAAGAGTCTTAGGACCCCCTTCCACAATGTTCTAGACACCCCTGTCTCTACTACCCGAAGTAAGGGGCTTTGAAAACCACACAGCCTAGGAATCCAGGCATGTAGAGATGTTGGCCAGTGGCTTAAAAGGTTGCAGAGGTATCTGGCTGGGGTGGAGTGATGGGGTGTCATAGGAAATTTCCCCACAACAGAAATCTATTCATTATCAAGAGCATTGCCCTCTTTTCATGGCTTTTTATCCTCCACCCTCCTTTCCTTCCAGACCTTCTGATGGGTAGTGTTGGAGATGGAGGGCAGTGGAGAAAGGCCATGGGGAGGCTAGCTTACCCGCTTTCACAGAGCAGTGGATGTGTGCTTTGGATTCGTAGTAGACCCAGTCGAAGCCAGCTTCCACAGCCAGGCGTGCCAGCATACCATACTTGCTTCGGTCCCGGTCCGATGTGGTGATGTCCACTGCTCGGCCCTCATAGTGCAGAGACTCCTCGGAATGATGGCCATCCTCATCCCAGCCCTCAGTCACACGCAGCTTTACTCCGGGCCACTGGTTCATCACAGAGATGGCCAAGGCATTCAGCTTGTCTTTGCATCTCTGTAGGGAGAAGGGGGAACCCTAAGTGACAGGCACCTTAGTTGGTGGTTTCTCTACCAACCATAGGCCCAGGACCCATGGGGTTGTATGAATGAGATGTGGGTGGGGGCATAGCAGCTGCTGGAGGGGCAGGTTCTCCAGGGAACCAGCTGAGGGCCTGTCTTCAGCCCAGAAACTTAGATGCAGCTACCTGAGGAATGAGAGCGGTTTCTTCTTGGGTGAGAGTCCAGTTGACATCTCTTTGGTGATACAGAACTACAGATGCACTTTACGGATCAAAGCCCTGCATTGCGTGTGGAGGCTGGGCCTTTCCTTTATCTGCCTGGCCTGAGGAAACCCACAGCAGCTCTGAGGGGTGAGAAGCAGCCCCAGGAGGAGCAAGCAGGTGAACGCTGATGTCCAGCATAGGCAGGGCCAGAGGACAAACATTCTTGGTTCAGGCAGCCACATTCTTTCCCACAAGGAGCTCCTCTTTGCCAGGCTTGTCTGGGGCCTGATTGTATTCATGTTTTCTTTGACCGGGTTCTCTTCCTCCCCTCTTGTTTTCTTGGCTCTGCACAGAATGGTGTCCGGCAAGTTTGAAGAGCAAACTTAAGAAGTGGATGGGGGTGGGGTGGGAAAGGTAGGGGGATGGGGAGCCAGAAAGGCCCAAGGCTTCTGAGCCCTGTCCAAGAGGGGGGTCTAGTGTGAAATTTCTGTTACTCCACCTCCTCCCTGGCAGGGCAAAGTGGAATTTGGGATAGTGGAGGCACTCTTGGCCCACATTAAGGAAAAGATGTAGTAAAAGTGAGGGGGCTGGGTCAAGCCTGTGTGGCGGAGCCCTAACTCACTGCTGGGAAGTTTGTGCTGCTGATGGTGGCATGCTGACTGGGAGTCTGTGGCAGAGACAAAATGGTAAGGGCACCTTACTCAGAGACTTGGACCCCAGTGGAGGCAGGAATAATTTCAAATTGACTTCTGCAGAGGGTAGAGCTAGTAGCTCATGATCCCTCAGGCTGAGAGGATCTCAGGCAGGTTATAGGGATGGGAGAATGACCCTAGATGACAGGCTCTAACTGTAGCCAGGACTCTTTCAAAGGCTTCAGGGACAGACCAAAGGAAAAATCATGTATATCTGGTAGCAATAAAGCCCAGGAATACGATTGTAGAGTTCAACACACAGCAAATAGGAGGGATGTAGTAACAACAGGTCCGCTCTGGCAGGTTTTTGGGCCTGCCAGCGGTTTTCTTTAGGAGAAAAGTCCAAAGGACAGAGTTGGAATGAGGTCATCTTAGGGACTGAACGCGTTTTACATGAAAATCAATAAGTAAACCAGGGTCAGTTTAGAACTGAGATTTGAAGTCAGTGCGCGCAGGCGCACACCACGGTACGCGCTGCTTATCTCCTCCTTCATTCCAGCCTGCACTCCACCCCGCTCCCTTCTCTCCGGAGTGGGAAGCTAGCTCTGTGGCTCTAACAAGCTTTCTATCCCGCAGCAGGGACGAGCTAGGGTAGGCTGGAGAGGGTTCCGGAGCCGGATACCCTGAACTGCGCCACTAAGGCAGACACAGAGAACCCCAGGAAAAGAACTCCGGGCTGAGATAGGGCCTCGGCCAGGACAGGCCAAGGCCGATTGTCGCCTGAGTTGGCACCCGGTGCCCCAGAGCCCTCCCCCGCACCAGGCCCGGCGAGGTTCTGCTGGCAGATGCAGGGTACTCCCCCGCCCGCGCTGGAAGGGAATGTCGCAGGCAAAGCCGGCAAGCTTAGCCCGGTTATTAATTCATTGGGTCGTGTGCCGCTAATCAAGCCCGGCTCTGTGCAGCCACCGTGAAGCCCGGCAGGGTCACTGGGGCCCGGCTTTGTGTCTGCGGAGGCCAAGTTGTTCCTGGGCCTCCGGCCCACCTCCCGGATCTGCACACCGGCGCAGTCCATGAGCGCAGAGCAGGCAGGGACTGTCGCCTCCAAGAGTGGGCTTCCCACATTGTGAAGGAGGTGATGTCCCACTTGAAGAGACTCTACTCTCTAAACACACCTCACTCCATTCTTCCCCTAACTGGGGCGGGGACAGACCCCACTCTTGAAAGCAGAAAACCCTCTTCAAATCCACACCTGGGCTCCTTTTCCAGGCTACCCCCTAAACACGTAGGAAATCTATTCAAGCAGGTTCCTCAGGTGGTCCCCCCCCCCTTCACCCTGCAGAGCCTGCAGATCAGGCCCCTCACTGGCAGCCTCCCACCCCAGCCCCCTGGCCACGAGCACAACAGCCTGGCACTCTCTGAGGCCTGGCCTGAGCAAGGAGAGTGTCTGTCTGCGCTTCCCTCTCCGGAGTTAATATTAACCAGGAGCTCCTGCGGTCCAGAACTGCTCTGAAAGTTCCACTGGGGACAATCCTGCCATGGTTGAGGGACTTGGGCTCAGTCACCTTAGAGAGACTGAAGAGAGGGTCACTGAATCAGGTGGTTGGTTAAAGAGGGACTGGCTGAAGGCAGGTTCCCAGGAGAATGCTCAAATTCTGAGCTCGAGATTCTCCGACTTCATTCCTTCACTTCTAGTCTAGGCGTCTCCTTCCTTTCCTCTTAACTCGGCCAACCGGAATAAGAAGCTGGTGAAGACTGTATCAAGGGGAGCTTCCTGACTGCCACCTTTACAACCATCTTCATGGGGGAGGGGGGCGGTCTTTACGGGGTGGGTGAGAAGTCCTGGCCTGGCTCCCCCCCCCCCATTTTGCTGTCTCTACCCTTTCTTTTTGTGTTGGGAACCAGAGGAGCC